GCGTCATGGATGGAACTGGAGAGCATTATGCTAAGTGAAATAAGCCAGTCAATGAAGGAAAAATACCACATGATCTCACTCATTCATGGATAATAGAGACCATTATAAACTTTTGAACAATAATAGATACAGAGGCAGAGCTGCCTCAAACAGATTGTCAAACTGCAGCAGGAAGGCCGGGGAGGGTTGGGGGTTAGGAGGTAGGGGGGTAAGAGATCAACTAAAGGACTTGTATGCATGCATATAAGCATAACCAATGGACATAAGACACTGGGGGGTAGGGGAGGCTAGGGGACTGTCTAGGGCGGGGGGGTAAAATGGACACATATGTAATACCCTTTGTAATACTTTAAGCAATAAATTAAAAAATAAATAAATAAATAAATAAATAAATAAATAAATAAATAAATAAGACAAAATAATTCTCTACAAGCTCAAGAGGATTGAAATCATGTCAAGCATCTTCTCAGATCACAATGGCATGAAACTAGAAATCAACTATAATAAAAACACTGAAAAACGTTTAAACACATGAAGGCTAAATAGCATATTATTAAACAATAAATGGTTTGCAGATTTTTAATATTTCCTACAACTTTTGTGATATTATACCATATTAGTACAGTTATGGTAATATTATATTTAAAATCATTTTTCTTGAAATATTACTGTATATTGCATGTAAAAATAAAATAAAATAAAACATAAAAAAGGAGTAATAATGTGACATTCAAAAAAAAGAAACACACAATGAATGGGTTACCATGAGATCAAGAAATAAAAAACTTCCTGGAAGCAATAAAAAATGAACACACAACAACCCAATATCCCTGGAACCCAGCAAAAGGAGTCCTGAAAGGAAAGTTCATAGTATTACAGGCCTATTGCAACAAACAAGAAAACGGTCTAATAAACTTTCTAACACTACAACTAAAAGAATTAGAAAGAGAACAACAAGAAAAGCCCAGAGTAAGAAGGAGGAAGGAAATAATAAAGATCAGAGCAGAAATAAATGACATAGAGACTAAAAAAAATAATAATAATTAAAAAGATCAATAAATCCAAGAACTGGTTCTTTGAAAAGATAAACAAAATTGATGAACCTTTAGCCATACTCATCAAGAAACAAAGACAGAGGGCTCAAATAAATAAAATAACAAATGAAAAAGGTGAAGTAAGAATTGAAATCACAGAAATACTAAGTATTATGAGGAAATATTATGAACAACTATATGCCAACAAGCTGGACAACCTGGATGAAATGGACAAATTTCTAGAAAAACACAATCTTCTATAGCTGAATCAGGAAAAATCAGAAAACCTAAATAGGCCAAGAACAACTGATGAAATTGAAGCAGCAATTTAAAAAAAAAAATTCCCAGCAAACAAAAGCACAGGCCCAGATGGTTTCACAGAGGAGTTTAACCAAACACTCAAAAAAAAAGTAACACCCATCTCCCTCAAATTGTTTCAAAAAATCCAAGAGGAAGGAATACTTGTAAGCTCTTTTTACAAGACCAGCATTATCCTAATCCCAAAGTCAGGTAAATATACTACAAAGAAACATAATTACAGGCCAATGTCTCTGATGTACAAAAATGCTAAAATGCTCAAAAAAAATTAGCAAATCAGATCTAGGCATATATTAAAAAGATCATACACCATGACCAAGTAGGATTAATTCTAGGGATACAAAGCTGGTACAATATTTGCAAATCAATAAATGTGATACATCACATAAACAAATCGAAAGATAAAATTCACATGATCATATCGATAGATTTGGAAAAAGCATTCACAAAATCTAATACCCATTTTTGATAAAAACTCTCAGTTAAGTTGGAATAGAGGAATCATATCTCAACATAATAAAGGCCATATATGACAAATGTACAGCAACATGATACAACAACATACAGTGGGAAAAAGCTAAAAATCCCTAAGAACAGGAACAATACAGGTATATCTGCTTTCACCAGTCTTATTCAACACTAGAGGCTCGGTGCACAAAATTCGTGCAAAGGGGGGAGGTCCCTCAGCCCGGCCTGCACCCTCTCACAATCCAGAACCTTTTGGGGGATGTCTGACTTCTGGGCTTGGGCCTAAACTGGGTCAGACATCCCTCTCACAATCCAGGACCGCTGGCTCCTAACTGCTCACCTGCCTGCCTGATTGCTCCTAACTGCTTGCCTCCCTGCCTGATCACCCCTAACCACTTGCCTGCCTGCCTGATTGCCCCTAACCACTCTGCCTGCCTGCCTCATCACCCCTAACCACTCTGCCTGCCTGCCTGAGTGCCCCCATTTGCCTGCCTGCCTGATCATCCCTAACCACTCTGCCTGCCTGCCTCATCACCCCTAACCACTCGCCTACCTGCCTGATCACCCCTAACTGCCTCTGCCTGCGTGCCTGATCACCCTTAACCACTCCATGGGGGGTGGGTAGCCAGGGTGAGGGGCCATGGTATTCTGGTCTCTGGTCATTCTGGTCAATCCACCATTTCAGTCACTGGGCTTTTATTATATAGGATAGTACTGGAAGTTTTAGCCACAGTGATCAGACAAGAAGAAAAAAAAGGATCCAAATTGGAAAGGAGGAAGTAAAACTCTCATTATTCTCAGATGACATGATATTATACATAGAAAACCCTAAAGACTCAACCAAAACAGTACTAGATTTAATAAATGAATTCACCAATTTAGCAGAATACAAAATTAACACCCAGAAAATGATGGCATTTTTATACACCAATAATGATCTCTCAGAAACAAAAACAAAAAAAAAAATTGCATTTACCATTGCAACAAAAAAATTAAGACACTTGGGAATAAACTTAAGAAGGGGGTAAAAGTACTCAGAAAACTAGAGTATGTTTTTAAAAAAAGAGATAGAAGATATAAACAAGTGGAAGAATATATCATGTTCATGGATTGATAGAATTAACATTGTTAAAGTGTCTATTCTACCCAAAGCAATCTATAGATTCAATGCAATCCCTATTAAAAGAACAAATACTCCAAAAATTCATATGGAACCCAAAAAGACCCCAAATAGCTGCAGCAATCTTGAGAAAGAACAAAGTTAGAGAGATCACAATACCAAATATCAAATTATACTACAAAGCCACTGTACTCAAAACAGCATGATACTGGCACAGTAACAGGCATATAAATCAATGAGACAAACAGAGAATCCAGAAATTGACCCAAGCCATTTATGTTCTATTAATATTTGACAATGAAGATAAGAGCATCCAATGGAGTAAAGATAGTCCCTTCAATAAATGATGTTGGGAAAATTGGACACCAGGCACAAAAAAAGAAAAAAAAAGAAACTAGACCACCAATTTACACCATCTATAAGAATAAACTCAAAATGGATAAAAGACTTAAATGTAAGTAATGAAACCATGAAAATCCTAGAAGAAAATGTAGGCAGCAAAATATCAGACATCTCACATAGCAGTGTTTTCACAGATACATCGCCCAGGGCAAGATAAACAAAGGAAAAATAAACAAATAGGACTAGATCAAACTAAAAAGTTTCTGCACAGCAAAAGAAACCATCAAAAAAATGAAAAGGGAACCCACTGTATGAGAGAAAATATTTGCCAATGATACATCTGATAAGGGGTAATTTCCAAAATATATAAGGTACTCATATAACTCAACAAAAGCAAAACAATAGATGCAGAAAAAGCATTTAAAAATGAGCAGAGGACCTGAATAGACACTTCTCAAAAGTGGACTTACAGGTGACCAAGAGACATATAAAAAAATGCTCAAAGTCACTGATCATCAGGGAGATGCAAATTAAAATGTCAATGAGGCACAACCTCACACCTGCCAGAGTGGCTACATGAATAAATCAACAAACAAGTATTGGTGAGGATTTGGAGAAAAAAAGAACCCTACTGTTGTTGGAAATGCAGGCTGGTGCAACCACTATGGAAAACAGTGTGGAGTTTCCTCAAAAGATTTAAAATGGAACTGCCTTTTGACCCAGTCATCCTACTTCTAGGAATATATCTTAAGAAGTCTGAAACACCAATCAGAAAGAATATATGCACCCCTGTGATCATTGAAGCATTATTTACAATAGCTAAGATCTGGAAACAGACCAAGTGCCCCTCAGTAGCTGAATGGATAAAAAAGCTGTGGTACATTTACACAATGGAATACTATGCAGCTATAAAAAAGAAGGATCTCTTACCCTTTGAGACAGCATGGAGGGACCTGGAGAGTATTATTCTAAATGAAAAAAGTCAGTCACAGAAAGACAAGTATCACATGACCTCACTTATATGTGAAATCTAATGAACAAAATAAACTGACAAACAAAATAGATCCAGAAACATTGAAGCATGCAACAGATTGACATATTTCAAAGTGAAGAGGGGTGGGGGGACAAGAAGAGATTAACCAAAGAACCTGTATTCATGTATGCATAACCCATGTACATAGACAATGGTGTGGTGACGGTCTGGGGAGGGGGTAGGAGTGAGGTAGAGAGGCTCAATGCCGGGAAAGAAGGAGATATCTGTAATGCTTTCAACAGTAAAGATAAATTTTAAAAAATAAATAAATAAATAAGAAGCTGTTTAAAATGCCCCTACATACATAGTTAAAAATACGTGAAGGCTATAAAGCATTTCATAATTGCTAATTAATAAAGAGAAAGAGAGAAAGATAAACTGATTAGAACAGAGAAGAAACATCTGTTGTCATTCTCTGGACCCCAAGCCTCTTTCTGTTAATGGGTTGACTGTAAGTGCATCCTTTTCAGATGTGATAAGGCATTGAGAATGGGTGAACCTCTTTTAAAATTACTAATAAGGAAGAAAACCTACTAATATCAGGCAACCATTTTTAATGCATTCTTGAATTCAACAAAATTTTTTCAGTATCTACTATGTGAAAGAAACTAAGTAAGAAAGTGTGTTATCGAGTTTCTCTTCAGGCTCCGGACCAGCTGCGTCGGCGCAGCGTGGCTTCACTCCAATGGGTGATGCAAAGGACTCTTGGAAAGTGAAGACCTTAGATGAGATTCTCCAGGAAAAGAAGCGACGGAAGGAGCAAGAGGAGAAGGCGGAGGTAAAGCGCTTAAAAGATTCTGAAGACTGGGATTCCCTGGAGGAGGGGGAGCTGAGGGACCACCGCATGGAGATCGCCATCAGGAGCTCGCCCTACAGGAGGGAGGGCTCCATGGAGGACAGAGGAGAGGACGATGATTCTCTGGCTATCAAACCACCCCAGCAAATGTCACGGAAAGAAAAAGCTCATCACAGCGAAGATGAGAAGAGAAAAGAGAAACGCAGGCATCGTAGTCATTCAGCAGAAGGGGGCAAGCACGCCAGAGTGAAGGAGACGCAGAGGGAGAGGGAGCACGAGCGCCGGAAGCAGCACCGAGAGGAGCGGGACGAAGCCCGCCGGGAGTGGGAGAGGCTGAAGCGGCGGGAGATGGCGAGAGAGCATTTCCGGGGAGAGAGGGACCGAGAGAGGGAGCGCCTGGAGCAGCTGGAAAGGGGGCGGGGGCGGGGGCGGGAGCGGAGGCTGCGGGAGGCCCGGAGGGAAGCCTCTGCACGGCGCCGAGCAGTGCGAGAGGACCAGGGCGATAAAGTGAAGGCCAGCCACCGGAGCCGCAGCCCGCCCCGACCTCCGCGGGAGAGGTTTGAGCTGGGAGACGGCCGGAAGCCAGTGAAAGAAGAGAAGGTGGAAGAGAGAGGCCTGCTGTCTGTCCTACAAGGCATCAGGGACAACAAGCGGAAGACCAGCTCGGCCGAGTCCTCAGCGGAATCAGGGTCGGGTTCTAAGGAGGAGGAAGCGGAGGTGGAGGAGGGGAGCAGCAGTGAAGAATCAGAGGAGGAAGAGGAGACTGGGAGCAACCCCGAGGACGTGTCTGGACAGTCGGCAGAGGAGGTGAGTGAGGAAGAAATGAGTGAAGACGGAGAGGGAGAGGCTGAGAACCACATCCTCGTTGATCGATTTGACCGAGGTTCCGGGGACAGTGAAGAAGGGGAGGAAGAGGTGGGCGAGGGCACCCCCCACAGCACCGCCCTGACGGAAGGCGAGTTCGTGCCCGACTCCCCAGCCCTGTTGCCCATCGAGCCCAAGCAGGAGCTGCCCAAGTACCTGCCCGCCCTGCAGGGCTGTCGCAGTGTGGAGGAGTTCCAGTGCCTGAACAGGATTGAGGAGGGCACCTACGGGGTGGTGTACAGAGCAAAGGACAAGAAGACAGGTGAGATTGTGGCTCTGAAGCGGCTGAAAATGGAGAAGGAGAAGGAAGGCTTTCCGATCACGTCGCTGAGGGAGATCAGCACCATTCTCAAGGCGCAGCACCCCAACATCGTGACGGTCAGGGAGATCGTCGTGGGCAGCAACATGGACAAGATTTACATTGTGATGAACTACGTGGAGCATGACCTCAAGAGCCTGATGGAGACCATGAAGCAGCCTTTCCTGCCAGGGGAGGTGAAGACACTGATGATCCAGCTGCTGTGCGGAGTGAAGCACCTGCACGACAACTGGATCCTGCACCGAGACCTCAAGACCTCCAACCTGCTGCTGAGCCACGCCGGCATCCTGAAGGTGGGCGACTTTGGGCTGGCGCGGGAGTACGGGTCCCCTCTGAAGGCCTACACCCCTGTTGTCGTGACCTTGTGGTACCGTGCCCCAGAGCTGCTGCTGGGGGCCAAGGAGTACTCCACGGCTGTGGACATGTGGTCTGTGGGCTGCATCTTTGGGGAGCTGCTGACACAGAAACCACTGTTCCCAGGGAAGTCGGAGATTGATCAGATCAACAAAGTGTTTAAGAACCTGGGGACGCCCAGTGAGAAGATCTGGCCCGGCTACAACCAGCTGCCCGCCGTGAAGAAGATGACCTTCACCGAGTACCCTTACAACAACCTGCGCAAGCGCTTCGGGGCACTGCTCTCCGACCAGGGCTTTGACCTCATGAACAAGTTCCTGACCTACTTTCCTGAGCGGAGGGTCAGCGCAGAGGACGCTCTCAAGCACGAGTATTTCCACGAGACCCCCCTCCCCATCGACCCCTCAATGTTCCCCACGTGGCCCGCCAAGAGTGAACAGCAAAGGGTGAAGCGTGGCCCCAGCCCGAGACCCCCCGAGGGAGGCCTCGGCTACAGCCAGCTGGGTGACGATGACCTGAAGGAGACTGGCTTCCACCTCACCACCACCAACCAGGGGGCCTCAGCCACAGGCCCTGGCTTCAGCCTCAAGTTCTGAGATTCAGAGTGGACCCCAGAAACAGCGGGACCAGGGGCAGGAGCAGAGGCAGCCTGTGGTCAGACCCAGTCCTGCCTGGATGACAGGCTGCTGCGGCCCGGGCTGCGGTGACGTGGCCTCGAGTTGAACTGCTGGCCTCGTTTTCCACATTTTGTTTCTATTTTGTCTTGGCTTGTAAATTTGTAGAATTAAACCTTATTTCCTTATGGGGAAAAAAAAAAAAAAAAAATCCAGAACAAGAGATTAAATGAAAAAAAAGAAAATAGGCAGTGAGTACACCCTGTGACCGATGATCATTGTGGGTGGTCTGCAGGGCACACGCGTGCCCGGGGAGGTGGGACAAATGGTAGCATCGCTCTAGCTCAGGGTGGGGAACCTTAAAAGAAAAAAAAAAAAAAAAAAAAAAAAAAAAAAAAAAAGTGTGTTATCCTGCAGATAGAAGACAAATAACCAAATAACTATAAATATGTAGTAGAAATTTGCTATAATTAAAGCAGAAGCAATATAACAGGAAAACCAAGGACAGGATGGTATATTCTTCAGGGGAGTTAATTAGCACCATGACTACAAAATTGCAAGTAAAGGAAGGGCCATTTCTTTTCTGGCAGCAGTAAGTACCAACTTCAGTAAAAAAAATTAATTAATTAATTAATTAATTTCTACACCCTAGAACAGTGATGGCGAACCTATCACACACGTGTCAGAGGTGACACGCGAACTCATTTTTTTGGTTGATTTTTCTTTGTTAAATGGCATTTAAATATATAAAATAAATATCAAAAATATAAGTCTTTGTTTTACTATGGCTGCAAATATCAAAAAATTTCTGTATGTGACATGGCACCAGAGTTAAGTTAGGGTTTTTCAAAATGCTGACATGCCAAGCTCAAAAGGTTCACCATCACTGCCCTAGTACAAGAATGTCAAACTCGTGGCCTGCAGGCCGCATGGGGTCCACAATGAATATTTTTGCAGCCCAGCCAATATAATGGTATGTAAGAAACGTTGTAATAAAAGATTCACAACTTAATTTTTACAATATCCTGTTGTACATAATCTATATTATAAAAGCCCAGCAACCGAATGGCAGAATGACCAGAATGACCAGTCAACCAGTCGCTATGATGTACACTGACCAACAGGGGGCAGACACTCAACACAGGAACTGCCCCCTGGTGATCAGTACACAGGTCCAAAGCTGCTGAGCTGACTGGGATGAGCAGTGCTCTCATAGCAGGCCAATCCCCGCAGGCCATGCCCCCCACCAGTACACAAATCCGTGCACTGGGCCTCTAATTATTAATAACGAACTACAATGTTTGCTAATGACTGATTACTATAATTGTGTTGCATTCATTACCCTTACGTGCTTAAAAGCAGGCGCACCATTTCTCTCCACTAATACTAGCAGCGAATATTTTAGCAGCCGATTGCCACATCATTAGTCTTATACTGACTTGTTTAATGTGTGCAACAAGAAATATTTTGCTTTTGGAGAACAAGAAAAATAGGCTTATTTGTGTTACACTTATTAATTCAGTGTCTAATAAGTTAATGTTCAAGAAAAAATATTAATTTTTATTAAATTGTCCTGTTATTTTATGTTAACGATTACTCATTTATTTCAGCCCTTTGTATTCAGCACGTCTCTATCAAAATAAACTTACATTTCTTTGAAAATTGAAGGGTTTTTTTTGTTTTTTGTGGCCCACATACACTTAAACCTTGTTTATTTGGCCGGTGTTAGCCTTTGAGTTGGACATGCTTGCCCTAGAAAAGCAAAACCCACAAAATGATAGGTACTAAGTAGACAATTCTGAATGATTCTGCTGGAGCTCTGGTAAGTAAAGCAGAAGCATGATTAAATGGTAGAATTTGCCTGATGGTTCATTTTACTATAAAGATCTATAACAAAACCCATCTATTACTTGACATGAAAACACTGGGAACAATTAGGGGGAAATCCCCAAGGAAAAAGGGATTCTCTGGGAATTAGAACAGGGCTTCTGAAGTGCAGCTGTACCTTAAAAAATGGAGACTGTCTGCTGCTGCGCACCTTGGAGAAAGTGGCCTTGCTTTATTAACAGAGCCTCAGACTTATAAAAAAAATGATTCTGTCTTCTGCAGCATGACACAGACTGTTGTAATTAGCATTGATATGGAGGGGACAAAACTTATTAAAATAAAACACTAAATACTGAAGCCAACCATTAGCAACGATCTATTCATATGATGTCTAGCATAGTTGGTAGCTGGCCTTGTAATGTAGATCAAATTCCTCCCTACCTTAACATGAACAATTCATTCTAGAAATGCAGGTGTTATCTTACCAAGATAAAGTCTTTTTTAAAATAGGAAAACAATACCAGTGTAATTTTTAAAGTGTTGTCTAATATCATACTCAATAGTGCTAAACACTATATAGCTTTTCCTAATAATTAGATTAATCTACATATAGGAAATTTAGCATATACAATTTATTTGAAACCAAATATTTATACTTTATGATGCCACAAGCAATACCTAAACTAATGAAACTAATGCTATTTTAGAATATTTAGGTGTTAACCGACACAAAGCACAGTTATTGTTTTCATACAATAGTGTCTCTTCATGACAAACGACTATACCATGCACTTAAGTTGGGACAGGGGAAGGACCGCCCCCCCCCCCCCCCCTCATGTGCTACAGGGTAAGTGGTAAATGAGAGGCAACACAAAAGTCCTGTAATTCCTCATAAGCTTTTAAGAACTAGCTCTCCATTACTATCAGTAGTTAGTTTTCTTTAAGGCTTTTATCTGAAGGAATGTATTAACAGCAATTTTGACAAAAGATGTTTTAGTTTATACACAACCATCTCAAGATTGCACATATATTTGCTTTGACTAACCTCAGAAATCCAAGCAAAACAAAGTTACAGTAGAGATATAAACAAGCAGGTCATGGGGTTAATGTTTGACTCTAACACTAATGACTTTCTTCTACCCCTTCAGAACAGGCAAAGGCAGTAGGCTGTACTACCCAGAAACAACAAAAGATAAACATTTCCCCGCCCAAAGTTAACCAACTTGGAGCTTCCAAGTGATGAAAAAAATATGTAATCATTAAAGCAAAAACAGACACAAAGTAAACGTGGTAAATAACCTCCATTTTAACCCCATGAAGTCTGCCGAGGGCCCAACAAAGGATGTGAGAAGCATTGACTCTAAGTTTTGACTGAACAAATAATACAACTTTAAAACTCATTTTATGGAATAAAAATGATCTCTCAAAAGATCCATAAAAATATTGTAAGTCTATCAGAAGATGGTATTTCTCAAATCCACTTATCATTAGGAATATATCCTACATGCACACAATATGGAAGTTTTTTTTTAATTTTTGACATGTGAGGGGACGGGACACATTTCCAAAGGCCAACTTTGGACAGAACTCATGTGTCTGTCTTGTCTTGTCTCCCACCTCAACAGGGGGCTTTCCAGTGGGTCACACAGGGCTTCCCAGAGGGCCAGGCGCTCTCTTAGAAAACTTACAGAACTTGGCAGGGTACCCAGCACAGCAAGGGCTCAGAGAGTCCGACATTGAATTTGAATTAAACAAGCAAGTAAAAGTAGAATTTGATTCTTAGCAGCAATAATTGTGAGTTCTCTTCATATGGTTTCTCTTAAATGCTTAAAACTCTCCATCTAGAGGATTGGAAAAGTAATTTGACACAGCAGGGACATGGTTGCATAGCATGTCACAAGCACAATGGACAGTACAAATGCATCTAAGCATAGATATATTTCAGATACTTTAATCTAGGGTGCCAGAGACAGACTGGTTCCCCCATCCCTTCATTCAGGAAGAGAAACCGAATGTGCGCAGTAAACATGCTGGCAGGGACAAGGCCCTGCCACTGATAGAGGAGCCCCAGAGTTAGTGGACATGGTTTACAAGGGCCCCAAGTTCCGGCAGTAAGTCAGTAAGTCATTCCCCATTTCTCTGAGCAACTCTGCTCACAGATAAGTGCAACCCTTATCAGGAAGCCTCGCATGTGCCCAGTACTGTTTATTTTGGCAGTGGCCCAATTTCTGCCTCTATAATTAAATGAGGCTGATGAGATGACAGCAGCCCCGAGAGAGATCAGAGGAAACTGCGTGATCTCCCTGGGTTCCTTTTCTCTGCTCTCCACTGCTTGGACTCCCTTCACATTTTTTTTTTCAGTAATAGAGGGAGCGAATTTAACCCACATCCTGGCCCCACAGGAGAGCTCAGGAACAGCATTAAATTCCAAATCAGCACTTTTATTATTATTGCTCCTCTGCCAGCAAGAGTATCATCACTTCCCATCAGACACTATCAACAGCGTTTTCATTATCCCCACACAGGATGGGAGATGCTGACTCCACCTTCAGGTTGCCCCAGAGAGCCTTAACCCAGTGTTCTAACACTGGCATCTACAACTTCAAGCTAACACTTGCTAAGGATAAACCTCAAATCCATCCAGTGAGTCCATGGTATAACTGAAAGCAAAGGAAACCAACAAGCCCATAGGTGATCACCTATTTTCTAAATTAATAAATCTAGCTGTTGAATGATTGAATAAAGGACCCATGTAATATCATGTGACACTATTTCCCTAATGAGCTGATAATTCATCACCTCAACATGGAGCCAGGCTGTGTGTGTGTGTGTGTGTGTGTGTGTGTGTGTACATGATGATTCAAATGTTGGTTCCTTTCTACAGCCATTTTTTGCTTCAGATCTACTAATTGAAGAAATAATCTCCAAAGTTCATAGGAAAATCATACAACTTAACAAAAGGAAGATAAACAATTCAATCAAAAATGGCAACAGGGCCAAAATAGACACTTTTCAAAAGAAGACATACAGAAGGCCAAGAGACATATGAAAACATGCTCAAAGTCATTAATCATCTGAGAGATGCAAATCAAAGCAACAATGAGGTACCATCTCACACCTGTCAGAATGGCTATCATCAACAAATCAACAAACGACAAGTGCTGGAGAGGATGCAGAGAAAAAGTAACCCCCTTGCACTGCTGGTGG